ATTAGACCTTACAAACATTGAAAACAATCATTTGGCTTGCCACAGATATATGTAGAATTCAGATAAGACCCTGCTTGGGCGAGCCACACCCATTTATAACACCCCACCCCCCAAAGTCCAATTTTGACACTACCATTTTAATTGCATATATCTCCATCTTCACAGGGTTTACAGCTATAAAACTGCATGAATATTTTAGGCAGATATGGATCATTCCAAATCAAGTTTCAAAAGTTACTGCTGTATTAAAACAGGTACTGTAAAATACCCCAAAATTTGGCCATTTTTAAGGAAAAAAATCGTGGTGGATTCATTCAAGTCTATGTAGACAATGGGTTTGATTAATTTATTAAAACATTTTGCTCTACAATGTTGTTACTAAATTAATAGGGCTGGTGAGCATGGAAAGTGGATGTGTACTAATGAAAATCGGGTCAGTGGGTCATAGGTCAAGGTCACTGGGCTTCATTTTTTGTAAATTGTCATATATGGACTTTTTCATTTGCATGGACAAGAAGTTAAGAGGAAATAAATCTTTGATACTATTACTTTGGATAAGCACTGACAATTAACTTGAGAGTTTACATGATAATATATATTATTATCATCAATTTGGTGAAAACAAACTAAAATCTTAGTTTAGTAAAGATTTCTTTTTGGTGCAATATTTATCATAGTATTTATGAGATCAAAGCCAGAACAAATCTTTTTTTAATTTTCAAAAGTTTTTTTTAATCATCCACACCACTTTTTGGTGACTATTCATGAGCAAACAGTAACTAAATAATATTCAAATTAGTTTATTTTTGTCTCAGATGAATAATTACAAATAATAAAAAAATCACAAAATTATAATACAGCAGTACATGCAAAGCAGTGCAACATTAGTTGTGATCATTACAACCTATATCATAATGTAGCAAAACAAGATAATTTTCTATTCAAAAAGCAAAACTAACACAACTGCAAAATATATCCTGGTGTTATGAAACATCTTAACAGTTTTATATCAAACATTACAGCTCATAACATCAAAGTTTTTAATACATTCAAAAATAAATGCAGATTTTTTCTTCCTGAATAGTCTGTAACCCTCCTTAATGACATTTCAATCTAATCTTCATGCTCACAAATGCTAGGTTCTGCTGGCCTGTTTCTTGTGCCCTTCTAAACTCCTTCAGTAAAAACTCCTTTACTTTACTTGAATATAGTTTCAAAGGTTTATATGAATTTAAAGTTCATCCATTGTGTAACTCAGTGAGATATTCAAGAGGGTGGAGTTCTCTCGGTAAAGTCCCAGTTGGCTCATTTGCCTCAGAAAAACCCAAATTAACTTTAACATCAGTATCACTCATATTAAAACTGCTCAAGGAAGAGAGACAACTTTTCTCATGTTGTAGGAATCAAGAAAGCCAAATTGTTATAATTGGACACTCCAGTCCACGCAGGTTTGGAAGATGTCTGTCTAGCTGGATGTAGAAAATGGCAGCAAAAGAGCACCCCTCCACTCCATCTGCAGAAACTAAGGCCTCATGCATCTCCTCAGCATTTGTTATATTGTGGCTTTCATTTACATACATGCCTTTCTACAACATCCGTCATTTCCACACTACAGTTTCAGTTTCTGCAAGGCTTTGGACTCTTTTGCTGACCATAAGATCACTGTGTGTCAAAAAACACATCTCAAATGTGCCTGAAATATAAATATAGCTTACTATAGACACATGAAAACACTTATCTCAAAGTTAATTGATACGTTGATGAAAAATAAATTATTATCCCACGTGTCAATGTTTTATAAGTAAGACATGGTTTTGAATATAAATTATGATGAGACTAGCGATTTTGCCAAGACCAGCCCTAGCTTCAATCTAATTCCAATTGTTCCTTAAATTTATTTTACCCAAATACCCTTACACCAACCTAAATACCTACACAAATATAGCTTACAGGTCCTTAGGCTGAAATTTCATTATTTGAAAGGGGGCATTTTTCTTTTAAAAAAAAGAAAAAAATGGACCGTTTACCATTAAAAAATTGCACCTAGATAATTTTTCTGAGTGACCTTTTTTCTGGCTTTTAGCCTCTATTAAAATACAAACAAACCCGTTTCTTACCTGAACCAAGTGGTACCAGTAGGCCTATATTCAAATGGCTTTTTGTCTACACTGACATCTGCAAGTTAATCCCATGAAAAGGCTCGTTTTTCCCTGTGTGGATGGTTTCCAGCACAAACCAAGCCCATATCCCTATGCTGGTCACATGGTGTAACCCATTCATTCTCCCAAAGATACTTGAAAATGTCCAAATGCGGTCATCGGAGACAAAAGAGTCCACACCTGACAAGAATCAGTTTGCTTTCGTAACTCACGCTGTTTTGCTTCACGTAAACGCGACAAAGATGACTGTTAATATCTCTGTTGCAGTTTTTCAATACACTACATGTTTTTTCATATCTGTAGACAGAGTATAAACCACATGACATACGACTTCGGTGAGGAAAATTTGCAAAGAAACAGTCTGCGCTTTCCGCCATGTTGGATAATCACGCTGTGTTGTTCTTTCGTTAGTACATTAGTTTCACATGATTTTAAAATGTGTTAGATGCTTGTTTAAACCAGAAAAAAAAAAAAAATTAGAATATGTAAAATGAAGATATAAAGCTCAACTAACAGTGTTTTTAACCATTTGTTGACTTGAAAGAGATAGCTGAAGTTGAGTGCACCGGTATATGTGTCCGGATATATTTACGGAAAATGAAGAAATTAGGCCATGTTCTATCTCTTACAACGGACAAGTTGTAGAACAGCAGTAAGTTTTGATTTCATGTATAAATAGATTAATGAGTTATCTGTTAGTCCTGAATACGCTTTACCCCAAAGACCTGTGAAGATGAAGATATTGTCAAAAATAGAAGGGGGTGTTCAAATCATGTGGTTCGTAGCCCTGATAAAAACGTTTAGTTTGTTACCATGGAAACAAAGAGGGTGAAAAAAGTGTATATCATTTTAATCCCCTATCTTTAGGTTATAACATATCACCAAACTAAATCATTAAGTGACACCTGTATAAACTGTAAGGCCAATCAATATAACCCTGTTTTTCAGATGAATTTTTGGTTGATTAACCCCACAAATTGTGACTGCCCATATCTCTGTAGGTAGGGATTTTTTTCAGGAAATATTGCAGCCTCATATAAAAGTTCAAACACACCAAATATGGTGTAAATCCGTTCACCCCCGCCTTGCCGCATTTTCTACATTTGGTCTGGTTTTCTCGTGGACACACACTTAATTTTATTCGTGTATGGTAATGAGCTGTTGTTAATTTAACAATTTTTGCGGTTTGTTGTTTACAGGAAAGAAGTGTAACTGTGACATGAATGATCAAGTCTGGAGAGAAGACAGCGGCCTGGTGACAGACAAGGACGTTCTTCCTATCACCGGGTTGAGAATTGGTGACACAGCCTGCACGAAAACGCAGTAGATGCTCCAGCGCAGTAGACTACTGCAATCATACTGCAAATATGCCTCAAATCTGCTTCGCATTGGGAGCTAATTAGCATATTTGAAACATGCTTCTATCATGCTGCTAATCTACTGCATTAATGCTCCTTCTCTGTACAACCCTATGTAATTTTTGAAGTAGAATTGCAGGAGGGTATGCTGCATTTCTACTGCAAATATGCTCCACACCACTACTGCGTTAATGCTTCTTTGCTACTTCGATACTACTGCATTTTCGTGCGGGAGGTGACTCTGGCGAGAAAGCCTTCCCCACACTGGGGCCGTTGATGTGTGAGAACTGAACGCCGGACTTAACCTTGCATCTGTATTTTAATTGACATTATAGGTTATATATTCGGTAAAGTCCATTTAAAATCATATGCTAAACGAGTTTATCTATAAGCGGAAACTTCTCTTCTGGTCGCTGGCACAACTGGAAATGGTCTTACAATCAATTCTTGTTTCAATGTAGAAAACGGTTTTGCTTGCTCCCTCTGGATGGCCTTGGCATAGGCCGTAAGTACTTGGCAATATGATTTCTATGAAAAACTACGAATGCACAACACAACACTTCTATTCTTGCTGATAAACCTCTGAATATACGCTGTATGAATACAGAACAAAAAATACTGTATTTAGCACGCATTTCTTAAGTATTTGTTAGTTGTCCTTTTTTATTGACATGCAAATGCACTTCAATCTTAGGCACTGCCTAAATGATCGAAGCAAAAGAAGTATGTATGAGTTTTGTGGTAATTTATAAAGTTGTTCATTTGGTACATACAGCCATATCGTAGGAAGTGGGAAGCTGTCGGCTCTCCACGGATTTTAGCAGCCGTCTCGAGTGACTTCACTGCCTAGGTGACTGTAATCAAACCGCTTTTGTCTAAATGTGTGTGTGTGTGTGTGTGTGTGTGTGTGGATGGGGGGTGGGGGTAATTTCTACTGGAAAAGAGGAGGATTATCTAATAGAGGGGAAACTTCTACTCTTAAAAATACGCCATTACTTTTGTCAGGTTTCTATAATGATAGAAAATCACCCATGTTATAGCCTCGGTAATTTTTACATTGCTACGTTCAAGCCCAGTGAATATGTCTTACCTACCAGTATAATAACATGGCTTTAAAACATAGGAAATAACCAGCATGGCTACTGCAATTCTTAGAAAACATGTCGGTTTTCGGAATTAACATGATGCAAAGTAACTTTAACATGGTATTTTAACTACAGGAAATCAATTGTGTAACAATATCAGTGTTTGTTTGCGCTGTAACGTCAACGCCCAATATTTTACCTAATAACATAGATTTAAACCCCGCATATTCTTGGTAGATCTTGGAATAACATCTAAAAATAATGCAAAGTAACTTTGTTCAAAATGAATCATTTTCCCATTGCCTCTCTGTTATAAACACGCAAATAAAGAATACGTATACAGTATATATAGAGAGAGAGCTGTGTTCACAGCAAACGATCATAGCTTCGGTAGCACGTGTTTTCAAAGGTCCATCAATTCCCACCGGAAGTAAAGTGAGATGTTGTCTTCATGCGTGGTTTACATGGTAGTAATCTCTGCTGTCGCTGTCCAGTCCTTTAACTTCAGCGCAGGCAAAGGAGATGGCAGTCAACACAGAGACTATCCAGTCAATGAGGTAATATTCAAGATCAAACTAGTTTAGCACGGCTTTTAATGCTACAGCCTAGGGATTGCCATATCACTCCAATTTTAAAGCAATTACACTGGTTACCAGTTAGGGACTCCTCTAAATGAACGCTGAAAAAGTGCGATATCTGAAAGTGTATATCAAACTAATCATTGACAATTACAATCCATTTTCTACCAGCGGGTGTCACTTTCCCAAATACAGCCACCACCACATCGAACACAACGACCACACCGACCACAACGACACCAACCACAACGACCACACGGACCACACCGACCACACCGAGCACACGGACCACACCGACCACACGGACCACAACGACACCAACCACAACGACCACACGGACCACACCGATCACACCGAGCACACGGACCACAACGATCACACCGAACACAACAACCACCGTTGCAGTAAGTCATACTAGAACACATACAGAACAAGTTGATCTGCAGACTGACATATTCGTGGACTAAATATGGCCGACCCACATTAAAATCGTCTCCGCTAATGCACTAGCTGTTGGTGTCCCCGTCTCCACAAGAGTTTTTATACATCGGAGTCGAAATTTAACCCTTTTAGTGGCGTGATGGTGATCATTTTAGTGAGGGTGGGGAGATCCCCAGGGAATAAAGTAACATGCTTTTAAGCAGGGTCGGTCAGTTAGTCTGTAGATCATATGTTACGAATGCGGTCTTAATTGATTTCACCGTTGCATTTTTGATTCAGCCATGTTTAATGTGCTATTCGGAGGACTCGTATTCGACATTTCAACATATTTACTTCATGAGACAGATAACAACCGCACTGTATTTACAAACACTACTCCATTCATATGTACGGAAGGGGCTTTCAATAAAACAGTATCATTTGTGTTATCAAACCATTTTTCAATCCAAAATATGTTATTTTGTTAATAGCTTGCAGTCAGACCTCATCAGGGCATGGAATTTAATAGACANACATAGAGTGACACCTCAGTTTTGGATTTAAAATAGTTGGAGAGAAATTAAATATTTTGTAGAACATTTTCTCGACAAAAAATAATATTCCATATTAAGTGGTAACACTGTAGATAATATGACATACTGTATTACAATGATAATGCATCCGTGCTCCATCAACCCCATGCCTAAATGTATATATACCAACATTGAATTCATGCCTTTTTATTGTTTTTTTACACTTATTATTGTATAGACTTTTGCGTGTATAAAGTAAAACAAAGAATAAATTGATATAAGAAATTCATATTAAACCTGCAAGTATTAACTCCCTCAGGTGCCCTGTATTCTATATTTACAATTGTACTAATACGATCTGGTTTGATTGGTATTTAATGCACATGTATGGATATACTTTATGATGAGGCAAAACAATAATGCAAACGCGCACTTTGTGTGTCTCTTTGAAACTTCGTAATTCCCTGTATGTTTTATTACGTGGAAATAGACTCTCAGTGCTTTTTGATGAGATCAGCGTTTATGCAATGGTGTATAATACAGTGTATATTGGGTAGTAGATAATATTGCACCTTGCATTTTTGCATTAAGTTATTAAAATACCTGGGTCTTGATCTCGATTGGCAGAATGCTGCGATATAAGATTAATTAACTCGTGAGTTGACTGATCTGTTTTTCTTTTCAGTAAAATTTTGAATAGTAGAGCTTAAGGATGAGTTCATGGGTAGTGATTTTCTAAACGGCTTTGGATATATAGGTTGTACACCAATGATGAAGGGAAATTGCTTAACTTAAAGAAAGCCTGCAGTGCAAATGTTTTTTCGGTAGTGATAAATTACTTTGATATACAAGGTCTTACGCGCATGCTCATTATATACCTTTTAAGTGCATAGTGGTATAATACGCCTTCCTGATAGCACAAACTCGACGTATGTAGCATCATTAGAGTAGGCAAATGCTCTTAGAGACAAGTAGATAATGTATTATCACTAAGATGTTACATGTGATTACGTCGTGTTCTCAACCAAATTATTTAACTTCATCTTCTGAATCTATGTTTCATGAGGGTTTGCGAACGGTAAAAATATAGCTTCTAATTTTGTTTGAAAAAAATGAGAAAGAAGACTAATGGCATGGTGTTTTAATGGGACATTAAACATCGTAAATGCTTCTCAAATAACAGGGAAAATGACAGAGAGGTATTTTAGATGAATTATTACGAATATTTATTTCTGTGTGTGATTGGCATGAGAAGATTTATGGATATTTGCCTACGTTTGCGCCTATAGCTCGTTCATAAATGCAAGCAATTTACATTCAGTAACTCGCCGATGTTTGTTCGCCTCAAAAAGCTTGTGGAATTATGGTTTTAGTTGGTAGATAGGGTCAGTTCACACTAGATTCATTGCGGACCAGTTAAGCTTTTAAGCTTAACATTAAAATGTGTAAACGACCTCCCCCGTCGATTATATTATTTAACATCTTTGAATAAGCGCTTAAGGAATTATCTGCAATATACCAAAGACGATCGGGAGTTATGTTTGGAGATCCAGTGTCGTGTGGTTGGAAAGATATGTGTAGGTACATATTCTTAAAGTTAGGTTACAGTAACATTTCAAGCATAACGGCTTTAGTCAGCACCGTGCTATCTAAGCGATACATGCGATTCCAATTTCTTGCCGTTGGGAGTCAATCGAGCGGCGGAAATGGAAGGAGTAGATGTTCGTAAAAGCGTGTCTTTCAGAAAGGATACGATGGTTAACTGTCAACAGCTTGCTGGAAATGCACCCGTAGAACCCCAGCCATTTTTGATGGCTTACAGTACTCTCTCTCTCTATCTCTCTCTCTCTCTTTCTCTCTCTCTCTCTCTCTGCAAAAATAACAATTTTAAATTGAAGAAAGCCGATCTAATTCCTCCATTGCCTCTATTTATGCTGTTGGATTTAAACTTTACCATTGTCCTGCCCATCCGTTCTCAGCGTTTGAAATGGCTTGAAATCTTCATCACACAATCTCCAGAGATAATTTGCACAGTACTAAGCTAGGCCGTCCCAGCTTAAGTGTAAATACGACCTGAGTTACCAGTTTGGAACGGAATATCTTGTTAAATGTGCTATGTGCAGTAGTGGAATAAATCAGAATTATATCGAGCGCTTGGCGGACAGCGTGAGAGAGACAGTGAAGTGTCGACCATTAAGATGTTTTAATAACGGCAAATGGGGAAAACTCAATTATAAAGTCATTTCGAGAGTGTATGCCGACTATTTTTGCTGTATTAAAACACTTTGGCCCGTGAACGCGCTCGCTGCCGAATTTAGAGTTAAAAGTCATCTAAAATGTGTATAGAATGTGATTCCCTATAGACGCATGAAAACGGTTCGCATAACACGATGTAGACGTATACTGGATACACGAACAATAGAGTAACGCTGGAAAGCAGTCTACAGCAGTTTGTATTACAAGTAAGGCCACTGTTCTCCGAGGATCGTTTTATATGTTTCACAGAATAGAATTACTTGTGATAAGAAAAATATCTAAACAGTATTATATTGTGAAATAACTACAACCAAACCACTCTGCACAGAAATTTTGCTCACCATCTATAACGTTCTCATTACTATTTCAATTTCCAGAAAAATCCATGACCTATTTCGCAAAATCAGTTCTTTAGGATATGTCCTAGTTTTATAATAAACGGAACCCATTTTGGTCTTCTTTAAAGGTATAAATATATGGATGGACGCCTTTGTTACTAGTATGTAAATGCAACAATTTTTTGCCTATTCATGTAGAAGAATTCTTTTTGATATTCAACAAGATACGTGAACCATCTTTTGTGAAAAAATAACTGAACTCATACACAAATATGTAAAAAACGAACAGTTTTCTATCAATGTATTGTTATAGACATCTTTCATTTTAACACTTTTTTCACTCCAGTCAAATAACACACATTAAGAATACAAGAATACTCAAATGGGACTTTGCAATTCAATTATTAAAATTTGACAACAGTTTCGTAGAATGCTTTAGTTAGAAAAAAAATGCAAGGGGGTGAAAATGGAATAATCCTGTGATCGCTTCATTTTGAAAATATGCCCTGTGAATGGCATGATAATAATATTAGCAATATAACACTGAGATGAAGTCGCTTGAAAAATGCATATTAAAAAAAAAAAAAAAAAAAAAAAAAAAGAGAGAGAGATAGGAAAAATGTTGTCGATATATAAATCTAATTTTTAATTTATCTGTAATATGCACAATTATGTAAATGAAAGAGATTAATGAAAGGGTGTGCTTTATTTATAAAACACAAATAAATTTTTATTTTCTATAAAGTTATCGCTTGTTGCCTTGCTGTACAATCTTGCGGCTGGTCTAATTCCAAAAATGGTGATGATTCACTAAAAATGAATTTTACTAAGACATAGAATGTCGACAACCCGTTTCTATCATGAAATTGTAACAGCGGTCTGTCACATCTTTCAGAAAAAAAAACTTATGTGATTTTGACTGCTTGAATATTTAATTTTGAAACTTAAGTAAAATGAAACCAAACCTCGACGTGCCTGAAATATTACACATATCACTCACAACAGATACATTGTCGCACAAAGAAAGGCAAGTAGGAACTAGAATATCTCTAGAATATCACTCTTCTTGATTTTTTAAAATATTTAAAATGAATCAGTAAAAGTTGAAATATATGTACGAGTATGTTTAGTATTTAGGCCGTTTATCTTGTTTCACTCCACTCCCACCACGCTCAGAAACAAAGCTTGGACGGGTCTATTTAAATACTGGATGTAAGTCAGAAAAGAGGGATTTCCACTTTTAATAAGCGCTGGCGTGGTCAAATGTTAAGAAACAAAAAGGAAACGGTTATGTTTGGACTCCAGCGATTAAAAATGTCAGTATGGCATAAAATAAAATTTAGTTTGACTCAAACTTCAGAGTTATCCACGGGACGATATGTGTGGCGGTTCCTGCCTGTTCCAACGTAGTCCACTGTTCTTCTGACCGAGTTCTTTTTTCCCTGCAAGACACTCTGCGCCACCTGGACGAACGGGTCAAAGAGATCGCCTCTGTTGCAATCGTTGGTTTATTGTGCTCAGGAAATATGGACCGAGAGATCTTAATTTTAACTTGCTGTCGATTTGAATGCAATTTATAAATTTTATCTACAAAGGACAAATGACTTTGATATGGATACTGAAAGTCCTTCAATTTCCAAAACGCCGTGCATCCATTAACGACAATTAGAACTATGGAATCTTTTTTTATTAAAATATGTGTGAAGCATTTGCAGGATCTTTGTACATAAAGATATTTAGTTAATTTTCCTTCAGTTTCAATTAAAATCAATATGCAGAGAAGATCATTAAAATCGAAGAAATTTATTAAATGGTTTTATCTCACTATTCCCGTTCAGTAAGTCACTAAACAGATTATTTCGGTAGCCTATTAAAAAGCCTATGTGTAATATAAAATAAACGGTAACATTTAGATATCAA